GGTCTCCTCGGTCGTCCGCTGGGCAGCCTCCTTGGTGATCTCCTTGGCAGCCTCCTCGGCGGTCCCCTTGGTGGCCTCCTCCTCGGTGGTTCCCTTGGCAGCCCCCTCAATGGCCCCCTCAGCGGTCCCCTAGGTGGCCTCCTCCTCGGCGGTCTCCTCTTGGGCGTGTTCTGCACTGCCGTGTCGACTCTGGCCGACGCCGCCCCATGTTGCAGGGCGGCCTGCGCATCGGCCACCCATCAGGCGGTCTTCTCCGCCTCCCTGACCGTCGAACTGGCACTCACCTTAAGCACCTTGCGAGGCACAAAGGCAGGCATCTCCACCCTATGATGGCGCCTAAATGAGTCATGAAAGGAATAAGTCCGTAGGACCAAAAAGGAAAGAAAAATGGCATGACCAAGGTCTCAGAAATAGGTGCTTACTTCGACCGGGGGAAGGATGGCTTCCGCCCTCTGGATGCCAAGCCTCCTGAGGTCTTCGCCAATGTCGCCCCCATAGGAGGAGACGCCGGCCGATCCTCGGCAGACTTAGCTGTCCCCTCGATTCCCTATGGGGACGGTGGAGGCATGTCCCTCTCCAACCGCGCCGTCTGCTCGCCGCCACGCGGGGGCGGCGTGGACTTCACATCCACGTGTGGCCCCGACATGTCCGCCGCTGAGGCTGCGGGCTTGGTGACGCGCTTTCCCAATGCCCGCGCCTTAGGTGTGTCCACCGTCGCCTTGGGACGGGTGATTACCCTCCCCGAGGCATCACCTCCTCCTCCTCCAAGGAGCGCCGGACTTGCTGCCGGCCTCCCGGACATCGATCCCCCAGCCGTGGGCCCCCGCTGGGGCTCCACGTCGGGGATATGGTCGAGTGGGCCGTGCCCCTCCTCGGCCTCATCGTTGTCATCATCGTCGTCCTCACCTGAAATTGACAGGGTCAGGGATGGCTCCTCCGGAAGTCCGTCACGCCTCTGTTGCTGGTGAAGCTTCTCCAGCCGCTGGCGATCGCGGATCTTCTTGTCGCGCTTCTTCAGCTTGGCGTCCTTCTTCTTCTTGTATGCCTCAGCATGGAGCTTGTTCTAGGCCCGCTGCACTGCATCCTCGGGGACGGGGGGCTTGGACGTCCTGACTCCCCATAGACCCTACGAGCAAGACAATGCAACACGATCAACGACAAACCAAGGGCGTGATGAGAAGAAAGGCCTCGGGGACTGCACCGATGTTCAACTTACCAGGGAAACATACCCGTCCGAGGGGCGCATTGGGACCGTGAATAGGTCCACCTCGGAGGGTCCTCCGGCCACCGGCTCCCTCACCCACCGCAAGATCTCGTCGGTGGTGAGGGAGGCCGCGGACATCCGGGAGCCTTCAATCGGCCCATCCAGCATCATTTGGTCCAGGCGTAGTTGCCGGGCCATCAGCGGCAACATCCTCCGCCGGTGGAAGGTCGCTACGACCATGGCCGTGGTGAGGCCGCGGTTGTGCAGCCTCTATAGGGCGTCAAGGAGCGGCTGCAGCTTGGGCTAGTCGGGAGTCGGGACCCCGTGCCTCCACTTCTTCGGCTTGCCGGTCACGACCTGTCCAGTGTAGGGAGGCAGCCCGTTGCCGTTGTTGCGAAGGTAGAGCCAGCTGTCCGGCTAGCCGTGGTTGGATGAGGTGAGCTAGGCTGGAATGTAGAGATGTGCCTAGTCTTGGCACACTTGGAGGGTGCATCCGCCGACCCTCAACGCCTTCTGCACGCCCGTTGCCCCTGCCGCCTTGGTGGTGAGCTCCACCCAGAAGAGATGGAGCCAGAGCTCCTAGTGGGGAGTGATCCCTAGGTACCCCTCGCAGACGGCGGCGAAAATGGCCGCCTGCGCGATGGAGTTGGGGGCGATGTTGTGGAGCTCCACCCCATAGTAGTGCGGGAGCGCACGCATGAAGCGGCTCGCCGGCACCCCAAGCCCGCGCTCGTGAAATGCCACGAAGCTCATGACATAGCCGTCGCGCGGCCTCGGCTCCATCTCGTCCCCTGGCGCAATCCACTCTGGCATGTCGCGATCGGTGACGGGGTGGAGGAGGCCCTCGTTGACAAGCGCCTACAGCGTCTCCGGAGCCACATCGGAGGGGCCCTAGGGGTCCGCTGGGAGGACAGCACCACCGCCAGCCATGAGGTCAGTGGAAAAGGATGCAATGGCGGCGAGGTGTGAGTCTCTCTCTCTATTTCCCTCCTTCTCCCTTTCTTCTCCTGCTCTTTCTCTGTCCTTGGCAACCGCTCATGGGCGGGGAAGGCGAGTGCAAATGGCAAGGATGGGGAGGCAGAGCACGGCGCTCTGCATTTATATAGAACGGGAAGATGAGTGGGCGGATCCAATAGGGGAACCGCCAGATCGAACGCATTAAATGCGAATCCGGCAGAATCGCCCACTCACCCCGATTTCCTCGCTAACCGCGTGCACGCGCGCAGTAATTGCTTGCCTGCAGACGAAATGTCCCGTTCGGTCGCAGCGCCGCTCCATTTCCCCGAGAAACCACCTCAAAAGGCGTGCCTGCTCATCGCCAGTCGATAGAAAGGGAATATTCCCTCCGGGATCCCTTCTAGGCGAAGAAACCTGGGCACCGAGCCCTCTACGGTCCAGGGGTTCGAAGGCTGGCCCCTCGGGGGTTTTGACAGCCGCCCCAAAACACGAGTCAGGGATAGTTATGGATGAGCCCGTACATGGCCGAGGCCTGAGCAATTGAACGCTCGGGACGTCCTAAGCTATGTGCAAGACCAGCAGGGCAATCACCAGTGGAATCCCACCGAAGGGAGGCACCGAGCCCTCAGAACCAATCGAATGGATCTAAGACCCACTTGATAGCTCTTAGGTATTTTGGAGCGCATCTTTGGACCGCTAGCTGACCCTTAGCGAATGGGGCACGGGCCTCCACTTGGACTTACCCGTTAGCAGCTCACTGGGGGTGTCATTCCTCACCCACCGAGGGTAGCATGGCACGTCCCACCCCTCCTCCTTGCGAAAAGGATGCGTGAGGGATAGACAAAAGAGACAAGGGCGTCCTTGACCATCCTCCTGCCATGAGTGGAGGCTTGGGGGTTGTCCTCGCACCTAGGCCAAGACCTAGCCACTCATACCCATGCTTCGGTCCCTGTGACAGGCACGCCTGTTAATAGCTAGAGAGACCGGGGGCTCGGCAAATGAGGAAAACCCTCTTACACGGAACTCAAAAGCCCCTAGAGGAGTGTCCCACTCCACCAGGGCCGCGGAGGCTACACCCGGCGGGTGCGCTTGCGCGCACCCATCGGAACAAACCAACGAAAAAAGAAAGCCTGGGCAACGGCCAACCCAAGTTGAGCCAAGCGGCAAAACCTCTAAAGGAGTGCCCACACTCCTACAGAGGCTCAGGGGCTACTGTCGGGTACCACAATTAGGGGTACCCCTAGCAAAACACTAAAAAATTGATTAACCCCTAAAGGGGCCGAGGCTGAGCAAACCACGGACGGTTTTTTGTCTCACCCGAGGCGGGCTCAGCCAGCAGGAGGCCTCGGACAAGCTTTCCGATTCGCCCGAGACCCCACAGCAGGGCCTCGGACGAAACGCCGATTCTCTAACTCGCCCGAGGTTGGCTCGGGGTAGCATCCTCGTAGCCTCCGCCTCAACCAACTCCCCCAACATGGCGTCACATCCATATAATGCGCTCCAGTACGCCCGCGACGTCATCCACGACTGGCGCTGTGTAGCCACAGGGACGATGAAACAGGAGTCAAATCACCTTTTTACCATACATAGCGGAACAGGGCAGGGGTTACCGGCTGCTGTACCACCTTATCCTGCACTATACTGCCTAACCCTTGTACGGCGTCCAACCCCGAGGCCCCTACAGCACCATCACGTCACATCCAAGCTCCGGCATCCTCAAGCTCGGCACGGACGTCCACAGCCCTGACCTGGCCTTGGCTCTCTACACGAGTCAAACGTACAGGGCTCGGCACGTCTTCTACAGAAGAGGCCATGCCTGCGGGACGACCACAGTTGTTCCTATGTCGTGAACAGGGTCGGACGTGGCCGGTGTGTCGTTCCAGTGCTCAAAGGACCGAGGCCATCCCCAACGCCATGCTACAACAGGAGAAAGCTACAGTCTCGGATCTACTTTCTCCGATAAGGCACATCTAGCAACACATCTATGTAACCCTAAGCCCCCCTTGTGGCTATAAAAGGGAGAGGCCAGGGCTAGTTCTAGGCATGCAAACCATGCATGGCAAACACACAACTCTCCACAACCGAGATCAACATCTCAAGCAATACAGCATGCTCCACCGGAGCACATATTGAGACTTGGGATCTGCTCCCTCTCTCACCCGCTTGTTACCCCTACTACAAGCACTTCGGTGCAAGATAATACAAACCTCCTCCCTCCACTAGACGTAGGGCACTCTCTTGCCTGAACCAGTATAAATCGCTTGTGTCCTTCTTGCATCACCATCCGGATCAGGAACACGCAGCTACAAATTTACTTGCCGGTCTAGGACCCGCTGGTCCGAACACCGACACAAGCCCTCTCCACCACGCTCGTGTCACCGTCGCCCTAGCCCGCTGCATCGTCGTCGCCCAACATCGTGCCATCGCTCGTGGCCTTGCCGCCGGGAGGCCGCCGCCGCCGTCTCCACTGTCTCCCCCGTTGTCAAGACCGCCCGCTAGGGCAGTTGGTACTCGGAGCCAGTTTGATCCATGGCCACCATCACCATGAACTCCGCTGAGGATCTCCGCAACACCATCGTAAGTTGGTCAAAAATTCTCAAAAATTTCATATGCAGACCAGATCAGATCAAATTTGGATGCCACCTACGCGTTCGATGATGAGATCGCCGAACTAGATCGACGCCTCGAGGCCTAGGAGAAGGAGCTCACGCGCATGAGCGGCGCCATCATCATCGACCCCGTGGCCACGCTTGTAGTGGCGCCACCGTCAGGAGCCGCCCTCACCATTGACGCCGTTGTGATCACCAAGGTCCAACCCAGATTGGATCTGGTGTCGTCGTCAACAACGACGGCAACCGTGACCACGCCAGCAGCAACGCAGCAGCACGCGGCCACGCTGCCGGGCGCCCTCGCTCTCGTCACCAGCGCCCCTGACATCACACCAGCGCCGCGCGCCAACGTCGACATCGTCGACAACGCTGTTCTGGAGGAACAATAGAAGGACGATAACGACTATCCTCTGGTCGTCATCGTCAAATTGGCCCTCGACGACAGCGACAGCAGTACGCTGCCGCGCGACGTCATCACCGTCAACACCAAGGAGCCGACAAGGTTGCAGCGCGAGGACGCGCTGCATGGAAAAGGGGGAGTGATATCATGGGAACAGGAACCCGTGGCCCATACGGCCAGCCCAGGAGGGGCACACGGCCTGCCCGCGCCCCGCCGCCTCAGCCCACGCGCTGCCTTCGCCATCGCTTCCGCGACAAGTTCGGGTTAGGATTGCTTAGGGGCTAAGTCTTCCCCAGACTATAAATATAAGGGGCCTTGTACCGTTGAATCTAAAGTAAAGAAATCGCCGAAAGGCTTATCTCCCCTTCCTCTTCTAAGCCTCGGTCTTCTTCCAAGCCCTCTCCACCACGCTCGTGCCGCCGTCGCCTTAGCCCACTGCGCCACCGTCGCCCAACGCCGCGCCGTTGCCCGCGGCCTTGCCGCCGGGAGGCCGCCGCCGCCGTCTCCACCGTCAAGACCTCCCGCTCTTGATCTATGGCACCATCTTGTGGGTCTGTAGCTAGAACATGGCAAACTTCAGTAGGTTCAGATAATTCCCTTGCCCTCTTCCTAGTGATTCTAGTTGATTGACTTTGCTCCTCCGGTATTGCCGTCACTCTCTTTGATGTTCCTGATCCTCCGATATTCTTGGAGACATTATTTGGCATATTGTTGTTAAGTTCAAGCTCCAAATCCAGCATTGCCTCCTGCACACAAGAAATTAAAAGAATATAAATAATTCTGCATATTGAACACAAATGAATAAACATAGTGGAACAATGCATATACCTTATCAACTCCTTGTTCCATGTCCTCATCTCCAGGTTTATATAATGAACCAGAGTCTTCACTAGCAGCACCCGTTTGCTTTGCAGCACCTGTTGGCTTTGCATTCATCATAGCACGTAACTGTCCTATACCAAGCCGTTGGAACATCTAATTGTTCTCGAAAATTCTTTGCATCCTCCGTATCTCAATGTCAGTAAGTGGAGGCTCTGTACTTGCATGAGAAAGAGAAACCCAGAATCAGTGAAGTAATGGCTATGTATTGAGTAGCAATACAATACTTCTAAAGTACACCATCATCAAACATAAAAATTGACTAACAGATCATGGTAGACTTAATAACCAAGCCTAGATTGAAGCTCACAAAAAAACTAGATGTTCCTCGCATCTAACAACATACCGTCTGCAAAAGATAATAACCTAGTTATATGAAACAACTAAAATTGAAAATGGTATGACATACTCAATATATGGCTCCACCTCCTCGCAGTTGTTCAGTACAAACCAAACCATTTTTTCATAATCACGTTCAAGATATGTAATCGTTGGTGCTCCAAGAACCTCAACTCCATGGTTGAATATAGAAATGTCACCTTTTCTCATACCAACACGTTCTCTATTCCTGCCCTCCTGATTATGTCGTGTCTCAACATCATCACCAAAGTACCTTGAGCAAATAGTCAAGCACTCAACAGCGACATATGCTTCTGCAATAGACCCTTCAGGCCTTGCCATGTTCCTCACAAACCGTTTCAATGTCAACAACCTTCTTTCAACTGGGTACATCCACCCATACTGTACTGGACCTCAAAGAATTGCCTCTTTAGGTAAATGAATTGCAAAATGCAGCATCACATCAAAGAAAGATGGAGGAAATATTTTCTCAAGTTTGCATAGAATGACAGGGATGTCAGCTTTCATTCTTTTCAACACATCTAAGTTCAAAGTTTTTGCACAAAGTTGTTGAAAAAATCTACCTAATTCAGCATGTGCTTCATATATGTCCTTGTGCATAATTCCTCGGACAGCAGCCTGTAAAATCCTTTGGAGAAGAATATGACAGTCATGTGTTTTTAGACCTTGGAGGCTGGAGCCATCAGCAGTAACACATGTTCCTAAGTTAGAAGCGTATCCATCTGGAAATTTTACACTTCTCAAAAACTCACAAAAGTCTTCCTTTTGGGTTTTAGTCATCGTGTAGGGTGCATGAGGAACAGTATCTGTATTTCCATCCCGGATCAAGTGCAAATGCTTCCTAATGCCCATGTCCTCCAAATCAAGCCTAGAATTTAAATTGTCCTTTGACTTCCCAGCAATGCCTAGAAATGTACCAAGGATGTACTCACATATATTTTTTCGATGTGCATGACATCAAGATTATGGCGCAACTTCAGACTTGACTAATACGGCAAATCCCACAAAGACGACCTTCGCTTCCTACATTGGCCTTCTTCATCCCTTTTTCTATTTTTGGTTTTAGGATGCTTTCCTGGTCTAACATCCTTCACCCTCTCTAGTTGCTCCATGAGCTCATCCATAGTAAATTTCTCTGGCTTCTCACGGGTTTCAACTTTACCATCAAACACATTGCTCCTCCTCCATGCATGGTCGCTAGCAAGGAAACGTCGATGGCCAATATAACATATCTTATTCCTTATCCTTTTGGAACAGGGATTTTTGTCACAATACACACAAGCATAATAACCTCTTGTGACTCTACCTGACAATGTGCTCAAAGCAGGATAATCATGAATGCACCATATTACAGCAGCATGTAGATTAAACTTCTTCCAAGTAAGTGCATCCAAAGTTGAGACACCTTTCCAAAGCTCTAGCAACTCCTCAATAAGTAGTTCCAAGAAGACATCAATATCCTTCCCTGGGCATGCTCGACCAGGGATAAGTAGGCCCATGATGAAGTTGGATTGCTCCACACATGCCCAAGGAGGGAAGTTGTATGGGATAAGAAACACTGGCCACATGCTGTACGAGAAGCTCATTTTGCCAAATGGGTTGTGTCGGTGTTACAAAATCACCAACGAGTAAATTTCTTTATGCATGTCGGGGTTAGATGGTGAGACAAGGAGACACAAGGTTTATATTGGTTCAGGTTGAATGATCCCTATGTCCAGTGTGATACTGTGGCACTCGTATTCCTTATCTCTAGCTTGCTAGGGGTATAAAAGCTTAGTCGAGAGAGGGAAGGGCTCTGAGGTCTCTTAGCGAGTGTTGTTGTGTGTGAGTGAGCTAGTGTTCAGTGTCCCTACAAGGAATCCGGGCCTCCACTTTTATAGCCCAAGGGTCGGCCGATTACATGCCTTCGTAGAGGAAGAAGGAGAAGATGAAGCTAAGGACGAAGGTGGAGAATCCTTGGTGAAGACGATTCCCTATTCCCTGTGTCATAGTGCCATCCCACGTATGCCGCCGGTGATCTTTTCTTGGAGTATAAGCCGTGTTAGTCTTGGTAGGGGCCAGGCTGTACTTCTTGTGTTGTGGTCGTAATCGCCATGATCGCCTATAAGCCTGTTCGCTTGCTCGTAAACGATCGTAAATTTCCAGCTGGGAACAATGTTTTTCTCTCACACCAAACCAGCCAGCAGTAAATAATCCATGATACGATACGGCCTCCCGAACACGCTGTATGTCTGCACCCACTATCAACCCTCCCCCTGTAGCTTTCTACATCGACTCTCACCTAACGTCTGCCGTGGCTTCTGGGGTTAGCGACAGATTCCAAGGCTTCTCAGGATGATGCCAGGTGGCGAGAATGCCTTGGACGCCTGTACTTTAGATGCTTGCCATGTTCTAGCCCGGTAGCTCTACGATGGTAGGTGCTGTAGCTTGCGGTGGCTTCGTACACAGCGTGTGTCGTGATTCTTGACGGATGGTACAGGTCTAGTGTACTTTCCCCCATTGCCGTCCCAGGGCCTGGCTCGTCGTACATGGGGACAGACCATGCCGCAGGCCCTTGCCCCCTTCCTTGGGTGGAGCAAATAGGATCTTGCCTGCCGTCCTGCATCCTGTATTAAATGTTTTGTACGTTGTCCAGGGACACGTGTAGTCATATGGGGCGAGTGGGACCCTTTAGGTCAGGCGAATCAGGTCTAGGTCGGCCTCCCTTCCCACGTCGGGTGGGACGGACCTTAGGTCGGCTGCCCTACCCTACGTCGGGCGAGGCAGAGTTTTGGTTGTCCGTATCGCCTTGGATCGGGCGAGGCGGAATTTGCCTCGGGCGCCCGCTTTTCGCCAGACGGGCCAAGACATGGGCCAATTCTTTTGTCTCATAGGAGCCTGATCGTTCCATGGCCCACATTTTTTGATTAGACCCGCTCTTCGAGTGAAGGGTTATGGGATTGCTACGCTAGCCAGAAAACAAAAATTTCAACCCCATAAACCAGGAACTACTGCTAGTTATAGATCACGGGATTACCACTAGACGCGCAGGTGCAGCGGAAGCGACTCGATGTAGTTGTGCATGTCATAGCAGTACCGTGCAGTTGCGTGGTTGTCCGTCCGCCCGTCCCTCTCATGCGGTTCGTCCTTGTGCTCTAGATGCAGCACCTCCGAGGTATGCACACGTATAGGGAGGAAGCGTCGCGCCTCCGGACTGCTAGGTTCGTGAGGAACGAAGGCACGGGTGTGGGAAGGGTGGCGGCTGCCAAATGGCGTGGAATACCCTAGCCCTGTTGCCCACCCCTTACTTATATAGGCATCCTAATGAGCTCCCGAGTTGGAGGCCCATTAGCAACCCTAAGCCTTGTCTAATTCGGGTCCAATCCGAATTAGGCTTCCAGCCCCTTAAGCGTGTGACCCTATGGGTTCACGCACACATAGACATGGCCCGAATACTCCTACTCAGCCAATAGTTGGCAGCGGCCTCTAGCAAGGCGTGTCAACTCCTATGCATACGCAAAGATCATATCAGACGAACCACCACAAAACCACATACATGTTATTCCCTTTGCCACACAATATTTGGTCCAACTCGTAGGTTAACACTTAACCCAAGCATGGCCATGCATTTCTTGATCCAATCATTCGAGTGGTCCAGTGATATCTCTCTCACATGGAGAGGGGCAAATTCCTTCTTGATTGTCTATGTCTCACGACATGTTTCCCGACAAACCCGCATACCGCCTTTATAACTACCCAGTTACGGAGTAGCGTTTGATAGTCCCTAAGTAGGTCGTTTCACATCTTGAGTACATAGGACAATCTCAGGTCTAAGGACATAATGTACATGATGTGTAAAGAGATAATAAGAACATCTCATGTTGGGTCTGTCCAGCCCCATGTCATACATGTGCCCACATTATTAGTTTGACATCTCCATGTCTATGACTTGTGAAACATAGTCATTAACTAATAATGTGCTGATCTAATATTCATGTGTGTCCTCACACGAACTCCGATTAGGGACAACTTTAGAATAACCATACAAGTAAAAGAGTTTCACTAATAATTCACATAATTGCCAATCGATACAAGTTTTCTTTAATGGATATTCAATGAACTCATAATATATCATGGATACAAGGCAATACAATCATCTCTATGATTATCTCTAGGGCATACTCCCAACATCGAGGCCTCTTATTCCTAGACGGTTTTGTGTCCCGTCTTAATCGTTTTTAGGTACGCGTTTTGGGGTACCCTAATTTTAGGTACCCGACAGTAGCCCCCGAGCCTCAGTGAGGGAGCATCCCTTGCTGACTCTTTTTATCTGATGTTGCCTATCATTCTCGATGGGTGTGCGCGTGGCGCATCTGTCAGATGTAGCCCCCGAGGCTGTGGTGGAGTGTGCAACTCTGGCATAGGCTTCAAGAAACGTGGGCATCAATATTTTATTGCTCTCTAGAACCATCGCTCAGATCGCTTATCGAGGAATACTCATCAGTGTGGCGTCAATCGCACACGTGTCTCTAGGGCCTTTTCGAATACGGCGTCGTGATTCGTTAGAGGGTAGTTGCACAGTGCTGCGCCGCCTCGTTCCCCGTGTGGAAAATTACTGCAGGGAGTTGGATTGGTGTCCAGTCGTGGTGGGCCCACGGAGTGATCAAGGTGCCCACCAACGACGGTTACCCTTTGTTGACGGTAATTAACTATCATATTCAAAGGTCAATTAAACATGGAAAAGGGTATGGATGTCATCACCAACATAGTTTTAGGGATTAAATTGATAAAGTTCCACAAGTTTTGGTGAATCTATGTTTTACAGGGATGAAACAGGAAAACAGGACTCATTATGGAGAGAATCCCATCACGACACATTAATCTGCGCAAACCGGACTGACGGTGGCATGAGAAGACTCTAGAAGACCATAGAAGACACTCGAACGAGGAAGCGAGAGGCCGCCGGGGGTTGGCCGGCCGGCCCCACCACCAAGCCGACTGGCCTAGGCCCACTTGGAAGCGACTCCTTCCCGTGGCGGCTTACAACCGATATTACCTTCGCATCTTGGTCGTTGTTCAAGGTTGGTTTCATCCGAGGGTTGCGGTTCATCCTCCGGGGCTATATAACTAGACCCCAGACCTCCCCTCCAGAGAATCAATCAATCAATTCATAGTTATTATTCCTCAGAGGTGTCCCTTGAAAGGATAACCTTAGAACTCCACCAAATCTTGGGCATAGCTAGAATAGAATAGAATTAGAGGCGGTAAGCATAGCTTGGATTCTGGTTCAAGTCGCGAGGAGGCTCGGTAAACCCGTGTAACTCTCTCTTGTAATAACAATA